TTCCGATCTTCTAGAGTCACAGTAGTCTGTAGGCAAGATCAATATACCATTTCTATAAATACATGCTTGAATGTTATAGTATTTCACGCTGCTGAAATTCGATTGCACGCATTCTCTGATTTTAACCTAGGTTAGGAGGACATCCTGTGGCAGAATAACATATGATCAAACCCTTTCACTTTGCCACACTTTAAATAGATAAATAACTTCTACAGCAGTTACCCTTTGCAGCCATAAATATAAATAGTGTTGGCCGGCTTTGTGACTGTAGAAGCAACGTCTAATATTTACTGTTATAATCAAGGAATGGATTACGAGTATGATCTGCAATTCTGTTACAAAGCTACGGATGAACTAACAGTTTCAAAGGAGGGCTCTTCGGTGAGTAGTCCCTATGTGGGTATTACAAAGTGGTTCAACTGTCACTACATAGTTCTACTTATAGGATGAAATTTCACCCTTCTATGCGCACAGATCAAACAAATGTTGCTTGAGCAAAGCAATTATCGGTGTACCTGTGACCGGAAAGCATCAATAAACAACTCTAAGGAATATTTTAGAGAGTCCTATCCTATCCCCTTAGTCAAATCTCTCCTGAAGTCTATGATTTCAAGGGAATATATATATATATATAAAAAAATACTTTCCTAGACAGCTGCTTTTGGAATTTTAGGGTTTATGTTGCCTTTCTCTACAAATTCCTTTATTATTCCCCTTTTCAGAGGATTTTAATAAGTCTTCAGAACATCAGCTGAAGATGAAACTTGTCTAGAGGAGTCTGCTTAAAGCTTAATTTCAAAAATTAAAAAGGAAGCAACCCATTTTAATTGTAAAACTAGTTATATATTATAGAATCAATTCAGCTTACTGTTCTGGTGCCAGTCTAGGAAGTGAGCTAGATCTGAAAGAACAGAGAATATTTTCATACCATGACTATGCATAGAGAAATCGCTACATGTTTAGAATTTCATTTCAGAAAAATCACTGAGGAACGTGGTAGTACGAAATCAGCAAAAAAGCTGGAATGTAGAAATTCTCAGGAGATTTTTTTCTCTCTTTCTTATTTCTGGTCAAAGGAAATAGGCTCAGCTCATGGTATTTCCTTTCTTGAAGAATTATATTTTTTTCACTGAATTAGAAAAACTATCATAAGGACATTAACACTATTTTTCAATGTATTCTAGAAATAAATCCTTCCTGTAGATGGGAAGAATTTTGTAATGCTGCCTTTAAACACATGATTGAAGACATCCTGAAATATTTCTGTTTACAAGGCTTTTGTAATCTATACTCCGAAAGGCCAAAAATTTCTTCCGCTACTGTAGTATCATTTAGCGACCTTGGATCTTCCACTGTATTCCTACATTCTTTATGGAATACATATTGGCAAAAGAATAGTTGTCCATTCCCATACCTCACTTTACTGAATAGCCTTTGACATACCTAAAACAAACCTTTAAACAACGCGCCCCCCAAGGTGGTTAAGACAATGCAGAAAACTGCACTATCAAGTTTGTGAACTGGGTAACTACTTCTCAAGCTCAGGTTAACTAGCCATGAATAACTTAAAGCTGGAAAAAGAAAGCAAGTTTCTGATCAGTGAGGTCCCAGAACAGCTTTCTGACAAGAGGAGATGGAACAAAACAAACACCTAGCCACCATATTTTCACTTCTATATCTCGCGTTTTCATCAGTTGCAAAAAGTTTATTTAGCAGTGGTGCTGTTAGAGGAGGGCAAGTTTATTAAGCTGAGACACCTCTGTTAACGGTGAACAGAGGTGAGACCCTTAATTCTGAGGAACAACTTTGTTTAAATGATGCACGGTATCTCAGTACAGGTGAGGTGAACGAAAAATAGTTTAAAGACTGAGCTTTGTTAGTTTTAACAGGATTTACAAGATGCGATGCCTGCAGCAGCAGAGGATTGAATCCTATGACCCAGAGTCCAGTCTCATTTTCCTATTCTGCAGGCACAGATTGGGAAAATTTCAAATAACAATGATAACTTAACACTGAGGCCATAGTTGCTCACTGCCTTAGTCAGAATCAAACTTAAGCATAAAAGAAAATAAATAAATAAATGAAATAAAGACTATAACTCTGCTGTTCAGGTTACCCTGATGCCAAAAAAAAAAAAAGAAAACCTTGTGGCTAAATCACATCCTATTTAGAGGGCCATAGGGTCACCAAACCTCCTAGTGGTTACATCAACTAAAACTCATAACTAAGTTTAAGAAAAAAAAAGAAAAAGAAGAAAAAGAAATTGCCCTTCTCACCTGCTCTCATCAGTCCTGCTGGGTATAGCCAATAGCATGAAGTTGCTCTTCTGTCATGCTCACTTGCTCTCTTCCACTTTATTTGCTTTTGCGTCATTTCCTGCACAAATGCATCAACAGGTAGCACGCACAAAAGAAAAAAAAATAGCATCAATAAAAGCAGACTGGTACCGCAGGGAGGCTTCTATTTAAGCAATAGATCCCTTTAGATCTATCCAACTGAAGCCACAGAAAGATTACAAAGAACGTACCAGCAGAGGGTTATCTAATCTCAGTGAACAGGAGAGGGAAAAAGAGGGGTATTTATAGAAAAAAAAAAAAAAAAACTGATTTTAGAATCTTGAAGGTGCACTTTCCAAGGTCCAGCTACAAACTACTCCCTGCAAGGCACAGGGAAAGCTCTGCGTGCCAGGAAAAAAAAGAGCTTACACAATGGGATTTCAGTCTCACCTGCTCTCATCAATTCTGTTTGGTAAAGTCAGCAGGATAAAACGCGAAAAGGAGGAACGCAAATTTCTTCAGCCACAGTGCTCAGACAGCAAGGAAAAGGCTTCTATCAGCCAACATCCAAAATAACCCAAGGTCAGATTTCCTGGACCTCAGTTGCAGAGGGCATGTACTAGAGAATACGGCCCTCTGCCGTTCTCATATCTGCTGATTCTCACCAGGCTACTGATTTACACCTCCCACCTGCTGGGTAATCACGTGCTATCGACCAATAAGATTTGTTTGCACCATTTTGAGGATTGCTGTCTCTCATCTCTGGATTGCTGGAGCACAAAATCTCAGGTGACTGCTCTCCTGTACTACTCCAAAAGTAATCGGAAGGAGCTTCTAGCTGCCTGAGAGAGGATTATACAATCCCGCTTGGCAGGTATTTTGAAGGGATTTTCCATTTCATCTTCTTGCCTTTAAGCAAACAGGTGAAAAACTTCTTAAGCGTCTGGGATGACTTGTATTGAGGGTTTTACACTTAGCCAAAAAAAATTATATATTTGTCCAAACAGATGGAAACGTGATACACTAGTCTCTAAAGTAAGCACGCCTTTGGAAAATCTCATGCCTGAGTCAACATCCATAGTTGGCAATAGACTGCTACCATTTGAAAAGTGCCATTGCGCACCAGTGAGAAAATGTCACCATTCTGCTATGTTCTTTATACAGGCATAAAATCATCTCTATAACCTAAGAAACATATGGGTAATCTGAGTAATTGAGAAAAATTTAACAACATAGTAGAGCTATTTATACAGAAGATGAGTCAAAATTACATTTATTTTATGTTGTGAAATAAATGAATATGCACATCCAATGCAAAAATTCTCAGTAAGGCCAGATCTACGTTTAAAAGTTTTGCCATCCAAGCCAGGTTGTTTAGAAGGATTATTAAAAAAAAAAAAAAACACCACACACTTTCTCACTACTTGTATGCAGCAATGCGTTCCACAAGGGCATTACTATATGGGAAGAAAAAAATCGCTTTTGATCATTTTACTCAGTTACGGAGGCAAAAGAATTACCCATTAAAGTTGTTTTTATACAAGTGGGGATTGCCAGTGTAGGTGCAGTAAAGCTGTAAGAAGCCATAAGGAAATAAACTTAACACTGACAATCTTTGATATTTAGTCCCAGATATGAACTTTGCAGACAAAATTTTTATCTAACTGGTAGGAGGTGGTACAGCTGTGTTTGTATTAGCAGGTGCAAATTAATATTACCTCCATTTCCTTTACTTTTGTCATATACTATGGCCTTAGAGTTGATTATGAGAACTGAAAAAAATTCTGGGCATGCAGACATAATAAACTCTTCTCTAAGAAAAACTTACAGTCAACCTAACGTTTTGATGGTTCACTTTTATCACAAGCCACAGGAAAAAAGGCTGTGACATTTCATCCTGAAGAGCCTTTGTCAACTATTATTCATGGAGATAAAGTTGAGAAAAAATTGCTTTCTGCATCCTCAGCGATAACATTTATGAATATCATAAACCAGGTCATAAGAATATCTCTAAAGAGTTTGTTCTGTCTTAAAGGAGTTTACAGACTATCTGTACATAATAGAGCAACACAGTCAGTAAGTACAATTTGTACATATTATCAGAACATACCTATCCTTATACTTCAGACTTTTTTTTTTTTTTAATTTAAATATGTACTGCTGTCTTCTGGAACAGGACTTTATGAAAATGTCTTTCTCAAAAGTGTTCATAAACTGGTTTTGACTATACACTTGGCAATCAATTATTCCTGTAACAATTTTTGGTAAAATAAGTTTCACTCTTGTGCATGATCTTCAACTTGACAAATAGCAAATAACACCTTGAGGACAAAAAAAAAGCACAAAATACATTGTATTTTACTTCTGAGTAAAACCAAAATATTTCCACATGAGTTCTTCTATCATCAGAGCATCTTCTTTTGAGTGTGTAGTCTATGGTCATTCTGTGAAAGTCAGGGAAAAAACTTCAGAGGTGGGTGAAGTCAGGATTTTAAAGCTCATAAGTAAAAGCCAGTTTCCAGAAATATTGACTCTCCTTCTGTAAGTACTCAAATAAAACATTCATTAATCTTGAATATTCAGTACTTCTGAAAACTGCAGTGACATTTCTCTTTGACCCCCCCAAATGAGTAATTGCTTCTGAAAGTTTTTTCAGCACTACCCAAATACACACTGTGAAACAATTAGATGTGCTTTCTCTTGCAACAACTTTACTTTGCCTTTATTACTTGTATACAATCTGTCACCTCTGTCATAAGACTTCACTTGTCTAGGATACAGCCACTGATGTCATTCTGAGCAGCATGCGTATCTGCACATGAACCTTAGAAGCATGTTGTATTACACATATTCAAATACACCTGAGTGCATACATGAGTCATTTGTGCAGTTACATTCCCACGAGTTTCAATAAACAGAAGTCATTTGAGTTAAAATCTTTCTTCCTAGATTTGATTTATTCATACGGCTTATGTTTCAGATCAAACAGTTCAGCCCAGCCCTGAGGTATTTCCTAATTTTGTCTTTGTTTTCTTCATTTTAATATTAAATATAGCTTTCTGCTTTTATTCATAATTATCCAATAAGTATTTGAAGTTAAACAAGTTTTGTGGAGCTAAATAATCAGATCATGAGCCTGTAGAATTAGTAAAGTTATACTCGAGGACAAGTAATCTTCCCCCAGGGAAGCCTCTCTAAATTCCACAGGACTGTCTAGTGAATAATCTTAGGAAAGGTAAGTAAATATTTGTGGGGTCAGGCCTTAATACATAATGTTATATTTACTTCTTTGCTGCTTTCTCAACAAAATGTGCTTTTAACTTATATATTACACTTATTTACTGCTCATAAATTGTCACTGAGCATAAACTGTTCTTGCTCTCCATCGGTATCCAAAATTTTAATTAAACTACCTCTAACTTCACCAGCAGACATGCTGAGGAGCTCTCATAAGCATCACACATACCTGAGCAGAACTAATCTGCCATCTTTGCAATGCTGCTGTGGATGTCTCAGCCTTTAAATGTGCATTGCGAATCTGAGTATTTCATTTAATGCTGGCCACTGTATCTCAAAAGGCCTCTGTAGAAACATAATTTTAAGCTTCTTTTCAATCAATAATAATGAGCAAAAAATGTTGTACAGTTATGTGTTCTCGTAGGTCTCAAATCAGCTGGCAGCAAAATTCCTGACCCTCTCTGTAATTTGCAGTTACCTTGTTCTACGAAAGGTTGCTGGAGGGAAACACCATTTTGGTGTTTTACAAGAACTTTTTTTAGCATAGTTGCTTAGCTGCCGAATGCATATGAACATGCAGAAAGACAGAAAATCAGAATGGGAGTTGAAGAGAATACAAAACCCTTCAGGGAATTAATTAAAGGCTGTAGCTTTTTTAAAAAACCCTGAGGAACTGGGTAGCACTTAATCAAGCAATAGTTAGAATTACTCAGGCCCAAAACATGACTAAAAATCTCGATGTTCACAGTAAGATACCAAAGTTCAGATGTTCAAGGGTCAGGGATCTTCCCAATGCGGTGTGCTAGATTGTGCTCTTCTTTCCCAAATGAAAGGTTGAGCATGCTGACAGAAAGCTCGTAGAATCTAAAAAACACATCTCAAAGAAACACAAATCAGCTGGTTTTAAGATCAGCAGTACGAAGAAGGGGCTTCCCAGCTCTGGGGCTTCTGCTAAATTCTGTACAAGAAAATATTGCCTCCCTTAGCCAACTCTCTCAATACGTCATGGCTCCTAACTTCATGCCAGCTCTGCTGCCAGCCTTTCGTAAACTGTGAGCCATCTTTGACATGCATACCATAGGTTGTCAAACTCTGCTTTAGATTGTACTCTGGCCAAATTCTGGCAAAAAGTGAAGAAGGCAGTATCACATCTGAAATGCCAATATGTACACAGTGGTTCAGAAAAAGGGGGGAATAAGTTTGAGTTTAAAGAATGCTAGTTTTACACTTTTTTTTTTTAAACAAATGAAAGTTTTCAGTGCTGGATTAATTTCCTATACATAAAGCAAATAACGTGCAAGTTGCTGCAGCTATTGTGCTAAGGCTTGTCAGAGCGCTGATAACAAGTTTTTGTATGCCTCGTTATCTCTGCTCACTTGATTAACTATTCTTAGCAAAAGACTGTGGAAAAAAATGAAGTTACCTTTGTCTTTTCCTTTTTACCTGTGTATCACATACTATGTTGTTAGTTTCCACTGAGGACAGTACCAAGTACAAGTGCAATAAAGCACTGTGTGATTCATTACTTAAACAGAGTTTGAACATTAGAATGTAGGGTTCAACTCCGTCAGTACCTTAGTATTCCAATATTAGGCTGCCTCATGGAAATCAATGCATGCACTCCTCAGAGCAAGTCCTGTTTCATCTGAGTCAGACTGCAGAATCGGCCTCCTCGTATGTCTTCCCTCATGGGCCTCTGTTGGAGCTCCTGCAAACAACTGCAGTCTCAGAAGGCAAGTCTTGGTAAGAAATTCGTAATTTTACTAATAATTTCACAAGTGTTTGAATTATGTAACCCTCTTCAGTCCCATCACTGTTACAGAACTGCCATACTTCTCTCTCTGTATATGCTGCTTATAGTTTTTTACAGGAATGACTAAAAAGAATATATATAACAATACCGCCACTGTACTGCCTGCAACTCATGCTGTAGCATTCAGTGATATATTGGATTTCATGCAAGGTGTTACATTTATCAGTTCTCATGCAACGTAAGAAGAAATTTGAAATCATAGACAGTTCTCTTAGTTGTGACTTTACAAGGTAAATGTTGACAGTTTTCAAACTGTAAAATTACATATACATAAGATACATTTCTGTCCATGTAGCCTCCATTTTGGTCTTGAAACACTCACCTACTAGGTTAGTCGTTCCTTAATCTAAGTAAAAGTGGCGTCCGTTGTGAATATCCTTATTTTGTATCATATTTCCCTCTCATCCATCCTAGCACACAGAACGTGCACTGGTATATTTTTTTAAACTATCAGTGAATATAGGGATAATTCGTATTCCAAGGGGAAAAGTATTATCTCCCAACAGTCTGGCTAAATAGGTTTGCTTTTGAAAGCATTCAAACAATGCATACACCTACACGAGTCTTTAAATTCGGGTTGGGATTAGGCTTTTCAATCAATATCTTGTTCATTCCCACTTACCCTGTTTAGTTTCATACTGCAGAAAGCTCACAGCACAGCTGGATTCCTTTCAAATGAAACAAAGCTGAAAGATGCACTCTACCAGAGCACTCAGTGCGTTCCAGCTATTAATGGACTTTCAGTTCACAGGACTAGACTGGAGTTAGTCCAAAGCAGACTCCGTCCTTTCCCCCCAGTTGCCCATAGCATGGATGTCAGGTCCTCAGTCTTAACTATAGATTGGCTCCTACTGCACCCCACTATTTCCTAACATAGACATGGACAACACTAGCTCTGGAGGGGGTATTTCAGAGCCAAATATCACAAGATAGGATGCATTTCCTTCTTCTATCCCCTATCTTCTATTTCCTAATAAAATTTTCTTTGATGAAGTTATTCAGAAAAATAGATCTTTTTGTTTGGATGGCAGGAAGGCATGCAAGTTAGTTTTACATAGGCCAGAAAGTCCAGGATGGAGACTCCATGTTCCAGCAATCCACAGCCTAGCATGTCAAATATCTGCACGTACAAAGATGAATATACCAAATACGTGGTTTGCACAGTTCTTTTTGTCATGCTTACAACCTGCTTTCACGATTACTGACTTCAACCCATTTTATCTTAAGTTTTAAAAGCTATGTGTTTATTTCACAACAATTTGCAGCAAACAACTTCAGCACTTCAGTGTTGAAGCACTGTAACAAAAATGCAAGTTTGGTAAGCACAGTAAGAGAGAACTAAGAAATCTGATAGCTTAATACAATGCACTTATTTAGCCTGGATATAAACTCATGATTGATATGAGTTTATATGAGTTTTGCTATTTTTGAAGCACTGTTATGGAAAGGCTAAAAAGGCCAGAAGGACACTATTAGAAGAAATAAACTTTTTTTAAAATAGACCCTGTTTTTGTGTCAAATAAATTAGAAAACAAATGTACTTACTCTAAATATAACTTTTTAGAATCCTTGTCCATACAAAAAATGCACACAGGTTTTTACAGTCTAGAGAATTTGTGATGTAGGGTGAGAAAACTGTCCTATAAGAAATGCAAACCAACAGGGTGTTTTTGGTGGAACCAAGCTAAATTTACCAAAATGTGGGATTTTGTACAGCATAAAACACGCTATTAACAATGCAGCTCTTCTTCTTATATATTTAATAACTTAACTGCTTTCATGTTTTCATCCGTAAATTATTTTAGGAGTAGTTACTCGGTGTCAGAAATCTGACACGCTACAAGAGAAAAGACCACTTTGAACTAGTAAGAGAAAATATCCAGTGTTCTTAATGCTTACAGGAGATACAACTTGGTCCCATATAGCAACTTCGGGTTTAAACTGAAATTTATAACTTAACAAACAATATGAAATGTAATAGTGTCATTCTGTGGATACTGGACAGCTTAGTAGATTCCTAATGGGAGAAAGGGAGCCTCCCTTTAAACCGAAAGCTGTTCAGTGGCTTACAGGAAATATACGTGATGTCGTTAAATGTCTGAAACAATCCACCACCAGAACTGGCATTAGCTGTCATCTTTTTTCGCAGTTCAACGAGAGGCTAACGCTTGCATAGGTATGTAACAGTGAGATACTATTTCCTTTCAAAAAGCGTTCTCTTCCATTTAAGACTGCCAGAGATGAAGGGAAAAACTTCTGCTCTTACTGTATGTTCTTCATCCTCTACTACAGTCTGCCTCCTTTATGTACTCACACACCTAAGTGTACTCAGACAGCCGACACACCATGCCCACAAACTGTCACGCGGGCTAGGCTCAGGAACAGCGTGCTATCACTGCCACCAAGAAGCTGTGAGCGTCCCCTCGACTCCATCAGCCTCTGCTTCCCTCCACCCAAGGAATACAACGGTGTTTCTCGCTGTGTAATCGCGTGTGTCTATGCGCACTTCCGAGAGGGCAAGCCTTCAGCATCTCCTTTCCAATCTCCCACTGCCTTGCCACAGTTAACAGCACCACTAACATACCTAGTACAGTGCAGGCCTACAGCTTTTTTCCATCTCCTCAACTTTACTTACCAGATTGCTTCATTTCCTAAATACGGCAAGTGACATCGAGGAGGTGCGAAAAGCTATGATTCTGTGTGGGAAACACAAGTAACAGCAGTGCTGTGGCAGGAGCACAGAAAACAGGGTTTAAATTCTACCTCCACCTGAAGCCTCGTTCCATGGGATCACCCACAGCATGTGATCATTTCTATTTTTAAATGCTATATTTTCTAATGTGAGTCAGTTACCAATCTATTTCTGATCTCAACAGGAAGGACAGCAGAACAACTTTAACGACAGCTGAACCAAAATTAGAACAGAAAATGGATCAGTTCAGCTCCTTCTTTTATACTATCCAACTTCGGGTGTATCTATCTAAGCCAGTTCCAATGTCAAAAGAGTACCCATCAGCTCCTTCTGCAGATACTGAGGGTCAGAAACAGCTTTAAAGTGTAATTCAAAACGTAGCCTAAACTGGCTACTGGAAGGGGCCTGTTCTCTCCAAAGCTTCTACTTAGAAGGCTGGACAAGTAATTCAGCCAGCTAAATTAAGCGATTATCGGATGGGTGGTGACAATAATCTACCAAACCAATGCCTGCAAGAGTCACCCCTCTACCATGTTGGTTTCATTATGGCGTTTGTGCATAGTGAAGCACACTGAGGCCCTGATCTGAGACAGGAGCCTCTAACTACTAGCGCGGAACGGGAAGCACAGGTCCTGGTAGAAGGCAAGTTGAACATCAGTCAGCAATGCACTTCAGCAGTGATGAAGGCTAACAACATACTGCCCTGCATTAGCAGGGGCATAGATAACATCTCGGGGGAAGTGATTACTCCCCTCTACTCAGCACTTGTGCGGCCACCTCTAGAACGTTACTTACAGGAATACTGCGCCCAGTTTTGGTACTCAGTATAAGACAGAGATAGACAAACCGGAAGGAGTCCAGAGGCTGGCCGCTGGCTGGGGGACTGGAGCACATGGCGTGAGTTGAAACTCAGGGAACTGGTTTGATAAGCCGGGGGGAAAAAAAAGGCTACCGGGAACCCGCCTGCAGTCATTCTAGAGAACGGTTACAGAGAAGACAACAGCAGATAGTTTCCAGAGGTGAACAGTGAAATGATAAAAGGCAATTCTGACTGTGCACAAGAAAAAAACCTTAACCAAGAGAGCGGGTAGGCCCTGGAGCAAGGTCCCAGAGCGACTGTGGAACCTCCCTCTGTGGAGATTTTCAAAACGACACAAGGCCCCGAGCAACCTCTGAAATTAGCCCTGCTTTGAACAGGACAGTGGACTACATCACCTCCAAATGTCCCAACATTTGTTTATGATTCCAAAATTGAGACTCCTCTATCACTTATATGAAGATACACGTTAAAAGCATTACATGAATTGGCTAAAAATCAATTAAAACTAGTTCCAAAAAAAAACCCACTGTCATATCAATGCGTGACTTAGAAACCTTTTTCTTCAAGGCAGACTAGTAATACTCTAGCTGCAAAATGAGACTAAGGAAAAAAAGAATAAATCCTTAGTAACAGAATATGATGTTCTCTCATTATTGATAGGATGACCTCTCATTATTAGAAGAGGAGCAAAATAAGCTGGATGGCACTGGAAATGCAATCAAAAATTAAGACGGTAGATTTGAACTAATTAAAATGTTAAATACATAAGCTTCATTAAAACTGCAGAATGATTGTTTTCTGTACTATCTGCTGTTGCTTTTGAAACTAACTGATCTGTTTTGTGGTTACTTTGCAAAATTTGCAAACAGAGAATAATAGTAATCAGTATGTTATAAAGACATTAATAAAAATACTGAGCATCCTGATGTAAAAATATATAGATTGTGGTGGATAACAAATAAATATTTCTTCTTCTAATAGCCCAAAAGATAAAAGTAATTCTCAGCAGCAAGGCTGTCCTTAAAGCTAGTTACATGTGACCGAAATACTTCTTTCTAAAAAGGGAGGAGGGAACAATCAGTGCTTGTCTCCAAGCTGTTTTGACTGTTGACAGCTCAAGCTTCAAGATAAACTGAACATGCATAATATATGCAGTATGTTTATATTTGCAGTTTACATCTGTATTTAAGTAAATTTGTAGATGGATATGTGGATAAGTACAGGGCTAGGCATGGATGCACCAAAATGCTGAATATAAATATGGAGGGTTTTTGTTTAGTTGCCTAGCAATAAGATCTGACTCCTAGAAGCTAACAAATACTGATCAGAGAAAGGAATATAATTATTTAATGCATCTAATGTATTGTACAAAAAGCATATAAG